GGAGTTCTGTAGCTCAGTGGTTAGAGCACTCGTCTTGCAAGTGAGAAACATGGGTTCAATTGCCAGCAAGGCGAAAAGCAGGCAAGTTTCCTTACTCCACACGCTTCTGTTTACCTAGGAGTAAGTAGGATCCCGGTTATTAGTCGATTGATGGATTGCTTTTCCGGGGGTAATAATTCCTTACAAAAAAATAAAAAAATTGTTCACTTCAAACCATGACTGTTTGTGGGACACTGATGAGTGCAATTGGCTGCTGCATTTCGCCCACAAAATATACAAGTCAATTCACTTTACAGTGTATTCTGTGAAGCTCTTTGAGACGTTTCGAAGACCTGATAAGGCGCTATTATTATTATTATCGTTATTGCAAGCAATTCGGCTGTCAATATGAACTGAACTGGAGCTTGGACTGGTTTACATAAGACCCAAAGCCAAAAAAGAAAGTCGCATTCCATCCATCTGGGCTGAACCCAAATAACAACCCCAGAAATGCTTCACCCACTGTAGTATCCATAACTTCTATTCGCAAAGGGAGTAAGTTGAGTTTCTTCACTCTCATAGCTCAACGATTAAATATCTGGAACAATGAGGTCATTTTCTACATCTTATCCTTGTGCCTTTTTTCTTTAAGCAACAAACTAAATGAGTCAAACATTTTACACAGATGGCAGTATGCCAGCTAATCAGGCACTACTGTACTTTGGGGGGAAGAATAAAAAACTCACAACCCAGGTCCAGATATAGTATCCGTAGCACAATCAGCATTTTCTCCAGGAAATTCCCTGTGTAGCAAGCTGTCTTGCTAGACTTCGGGTCTGATGAAAACTCAGGCTCTTGCCAAAATGTCACGAGTTTGTATGCTGTAGGGGATACGTTGAAGAAAACAGGTGCTTATTTCGGATGCAGTGTTTATGGTGCCTGAGCGATTTTAATGTCTTCATGAAACGTTATAGAATTATAGTCAATAGGGAAACTGTAGTCATTCCAAGTAATACCACAGATTCTACAAAACCTTTCTATAATTAGCTAAGTAACACGGGCCTTCAACTTCACATTTGCATACAAAGGTCAAACTGGAGCTGACACTAGTTTCAGTTCTAATAGTCAGGGGTGTAACAACACAGAATTAGCAATTTGACCAAAATATTTATTAGAACTTGAAAAGCTGTCCTGTAAAGGTCCTCCACCACGCTGAAGGCAGATCTCTGCCAGATAGCTGATGAGGAATCTCTGAGGCTTGGGGCAACAGCTGCTGGAAGGTGTTACCTGAAGTCCGAGTCTGTGAACACACATTTGTTCATCCAGGGCCTGGAATCCACCTTGATTGGTCTGCAGAGAAGCAAGCAGCTACTGCTTAAGCTCCCACCACCAACTGGTGGAACCATCACTCATTGGGAAGAGATATATGTTCAGGCTACGGACAGGAAGATGGAGGTAATGCTCTCACAGATTTCATACTGAGCTGTGTTGCCCACAGTGAGTTCCTGGTACCTGCTATCCACTTAGCATGAGCTCAAACCTGTGCTTATCGGATGTCACTTGACCAATTAGTAGCTATCCATCAGGGAGTGGGAGGTAAGCAGGGTTTCCTTTTAACTGAACTGGCTCCAAGGTGACAATGAAATGTTGGAATCGAGCCAGCCCTCTGTGGTGGACTCGGGAGTCCAATTCCTGAGCAGGTGGGTCCACAGTACTCCAGGGCACTGCTGATGACAGCACAGCACAGCCCGGCCTGGCACATCGGCAGCACTTGGAAGCGCAGACCAATCACTGGGACAGGTGCTCCTCCACCTCAGCTCCCATTAACCCTGCAAGCCAAAGCCCTAACAGGTAGGGTGGTCCTAGATGAACAAGCACAGGAAAGCTTGCTTTCAATGGCAATATATGTGGGTTTAGCTGGTTAGACTCCAGCAGTACCCCAATGCACACTCTGGGATCCCCAAGCCTTGGCTCTTTCCAATCTGCACTGAATACTTTTTGGAATTAGGTAAACAGGATATGTCCCTCCAGGGAAAGAGAGTGCATTCCTTTCCAACAAATATCCATGGAATTTCCACGTATAGGTGGGATGCATGGAATTCTCAGTTTGGTTTGGATACGGTTAAGCACGATGATGGGTTTTCATATGTGTCAAACACCCATCTGATCCCAAAAAATGAAAAGCAAAGAAAAATAGCACTCACATTTTTCGCCTAATGTTTTGCTCTGCATTCCCACAATACGCTTAAATATGAACCTAATGGCATGAGTAACTTTTTTTCAGACCCCACTTTTACGAGATCTAATAATCCATGAAGGTTTTGCTGGAAAGTCTCTGGTTAGCGAGTAAAATGCTTAACATCAGTATGCTGTCAAAAAAAAGGAATTTTTACGAAGGTCTATAATTATTTCAAATCATTGAGTAGCCTGCGTGCGGTGCTCTGGCTCTGAATAATTCTGTTTACAGCACTGTGTTAAGGCTGGGATAAGTTAAAGTTGTCATTATATGATGAATTGACCAATGATGGGGGTGGGGAGAAAGCTTTCTGATGAATGTCAGAGATGGTAATCGACAACGAAAATGTCGTACAACTGACAGGCTGGTTGTAATGAAAATACGTTGGAAGAAAAACATCTCGTCTTTTCTTTTCTTTTAAGATAACAGCAAGCACAACTCAATTTATGTTCCCCTGGAATAAAAAGAGAACGCAGGGAAAAATTCCTAGAGGATTTTGTGATGAAGTGCATTTATTCCTTGTGTACACAAGGGTATTTGTAGCTCTGCTGCTAATTATTTTTGAAAGATTGAGCCCTCTATTGCTTTGCAGGGTCAGCAAAGCAGCAGGATGTGTTAGAAACAGCTGTCCGTTCATTGCTAACAATTTCAGTGTTTCTATGACAAGATTTAAATATCTTGCCTTTCAAAGAAAGATCAGCATTGCCTGTCACCAGGTAATTAGTGGCTGAATTAGCTGCAGTGGGACGTCATTAAAACATGATCGAGCTCCCTTGTGCCTAGATCTGGATTAAGTGTTTTTGTAAGTAATTTGGTTAATCCTTTCCAATGAGTTTAACGAATTAAGTATATTAAGATCACACGCGAAAAATGACGAAACATTCAGTGTGAATAAAGGAGGGGGAGGAGGAAGTTTTATTTTAATTTGTAACAATTAACTGACCTTTTGAACATATCCACCACTGTTTTCAGCATCTGTCAAATGGAGAGATAAAGCCCTGAACCAAGTATCAGTAGCTAAATATTTCAGCAAGGCCTCATACACAAAAATAGGTTCCCTAAAAGTTTCTGACTGCTTTTTGCCTTCTAGTTTAGATCAGTTTCATCAGCATGGCCCTGAAATTGAACCTGGAATATTCTTGGCAGTACATAAGTTCATACTAACTGCAATGTACAAGGTGTCCACAAAGTCCTGTTAACCCCCATGTTTCTTTTCTACGGTACACTGATCAACACCTGAAACGTGAGAGAATGATGATAATTTGTTTAGAAGTAATTTCACCCACAAAATATAGTCGATTAACTTTACAGTATATTCTGCTGAAACCCTCGCCCATGCCTTCGTCACTTCCCAGCTGGACTATTCCAATGCCTTCCTCCCTGGTCTCCCCAGCTCCACTATCTAATCCAATTAATCCAAAATCCCCACGTGAAGGGCGCTATATGAATGCAAGTTGTTTTTAGAAGCGCTTTCAGACGTTTCTAAGAAGTGATAAGGCACTGTATCAAATGCAAGGATTATTATTATACTGAGCCAGACTGACATCTATCTGAGTGAACTCATCAGGGAATAGAATCAGTATGTAGAATAACAACAACAAATTACGTTCGTACAGCGCCTTTCACATCATGAGGACATGAAATGAGATAAAGGCCTGGACTATTCCTACCCAGCTACTGATGGCAGTGGATTGAGCTCCACCCAAATCACAAACAATATGAGAACTTTTCTTTAACTATCTCCACACCTTATTTTGGTGTAAGGTCAACAGCAAATTATTGACAGTCACAAGTCACACAAAATAAAACAGAGAGCTGATTATCCACATTAATTGGAACTGAACACTTTGGAACTGGTTACTTTGCAGATAAGCAAACACTGCAGAGAATTGAACATCACGCAATATACAACAAGTTAGATTTATATAGAGTCATAAACGCTTGTCAGCTTCTTGGAAATTGGCTACAGAGACAACTAAACACAAATAGTCTGTAATGTAGCGCATTGTATCAGCCCTTCTCTGACCTTTTCTCTGAAACTCAAATGTTCTCTTTCTCTTTCCTTATCTCTAAAATATCTACATATAACCCAAACTGTATAATGCATAAATATAAAGATTTATCTTCACTGCTGGCAAAAAAAATCATTGGTGTGTGATGAAAGCACGGATTCACACATTATTAGGCTTGCATGGTTAGCAGCCTTTGAAACTTTGAATTCAACTGTGGATACACTCACAATTTTTTCTGTTGGGAGTTTCGGGACATCCTCCGATGTGAAAGGCGCTATATAAATGCAATTTGTTGAAATAATCATATAATAACAATCCTTGCATCTGATATAGGGTCTTATCACGTCATTGAGATTTCTCAAAGCGCTCCACAGAACATATTGTAGAGTGAATTGACTGTATATTTAGTGGTCAAAACACAGCAGCAAGTTGCGCACAGCAATGCCCCACAAACAGTCGGGGATTGAGTGGCCAAATTATTAATTGTTGTCCCCCAGGCCTTGCATGCAACATCCACATCAGAGCTCTCTGCAGATAAACAGACAAGCAGAAAAAAATACTGTTCTAGTTAGGTTCCGATTCTGTACATGGCTAGATTTCTCTTGAATGAGTGGTTGCTCTTTCCACAGATTGCATCACGTTGGAGTTAGTGTTCTATGCCCACAACCCTGTGTGTGAATAAGCTGTTCCTTGAGTCCAGTTGGAAGTAACTTTTCTAAAGCTGGAAGACTGATCTCTAGCGCTGCAACACCGATAAATATTGTATAGCCCACCTGAGTTATTCCTGCAGAAGGAATTTTGTACGATTGCAGCTTCTGCTTTAGGAGCTCTGGATCACTGTGGCGGAACGGACATCCTGCAAGTGAACCAGAAAGAACACAAATGGAATATCAGTGATTAATATAATAATCCTTGCATTTGATATAATGCCTTATCACATCACTGAGCCATCTCAAAGCGATTCCCCTAAAAATTGTGAATTTACTGTATTTGGGGGTGAAACACAGTAGCCAATTGCGCACACCAGTGTCCCACAAACAGTCATGGATTGAGTGACGACATTTTCTTTTGAAGGCATTATTACCCCCGGAAAGCGATCTGCCAATCGACTAACAACTGGGTTCCTACTTACTGTTTGGTAGACAGAGGCGTTGTGGAGTAAGGAAACTTGCCCCGCTCAGGAATTGAACCCGGGTCCTCTCGCTTGTGAGGCAAGCACCCTCACCACTACTCTGGAACCACTCTATGGGACTCCACATTACAAGTTAATTGGCCGTACGGGTAATTGAGTTTACATCTTATAGGTGTAAAGATAGATGTTCAAATATAGAATTACTAAACCAGTGCAGAACCTGCGGTGAAACCTGGGCCGTCCTAATGCTGAGGTTCAACTTATTGAAAATAATGAAATTAATTTGTTTCAATTGGTTAAAGTGGCTAAAAATTGGTATAAATGCCTAATTTCAATCCTCAAGCATTCTATAAAGATCTCCTCTGCATTTCAATGCTAAAATAGTTAGTAATTGCCTTCGAAGCGCTTTGGGACGTCCTCCTGACGTGAAAAGCGCTATATCAAATGCAAGGATTATTATTAACAGGCAATACAACAAGATCTCTCCTTCAAGGTCAGCTAAAATTTGCTATCCACATTAAGCAGGTCCTTATCTGACAAAAACAAGCCATGACAAAGGAGTCCTGTCGCTCAGTGGTTAGAGCACTCGCTTTGCAAACGAGAGACCTGAGTTCAATTCCAGGCAGAGCAAAACCTTGGGCAAGTTTCCTTACTCCACACAGAGCCTAATAATAATCCCTCCAAAACCAAAAACAATAATAAATTGGTCATTTTCAATCTACGACTGTTTGTGGGACATTGCTGTGTGCAATTGGCTGCCGCGTTCGCCCACAAATATACAGTCAATTCACTTTACAGTGTGTTCTGTGAAGCGCTTTGGGACGTCCTCCCGACGTGAAAAGCGCTATATCAAATGCAAGGATTATTATTATTATTATTATTTAGAATTTACACCCTTTGCAAAAATGCAGTCAATGCAAATTGATCAGTGCTAAAATCCAGATCAATAAGATATACTGTGAAATATTCAAGCTTTCTTTCTTTTTCTTTAATATTAAAATTACAAATCAGAGAATTTATCCTCAAAATAAGACCCCAAAAGAGACTAGAAAATGCTATTTAAAAAAAAGGTGGTATTCATGTGCTGCAATTATTAGCAGATATGAAGCAACAGAGGGTTTCTGAAAGAAACCAGACAAGTTCCTGTCAAACAAACAGATTCAGGATTATTAACTTTAGAGACGTTTGAAGGAATCTTGTGAAAAATTGGATGGACAGCAGTCAGGCGACTGGAAGGCAGACATTTCTTGAAGCATGGAAAGCTAACATGGCAACTTCCAGTCATTATTTCACCGCTAGCATCACAGCAAAACAGGAAATGACGCTAATGACCTAATGATCCAGAAATCAGTAATTTTGACAAGTAGGAATCCGGTTGTTACTCGAATGGCGTTTCGCCTTTCCTGGGGGTAATAATTCCTTCAAAAATAATAATAAATTGGTCACTTCAATCGACGACTGTTTGTGGGACACTGCTGTGCGCAATTGGCTACCGCGTTTTGGCCACAAAATATACAGTCAATTCACTTTACAGTATATTCTGTGAAGCGCTTTGAGACGTCCTCCCGACGTGAAAAGCGCTATATCAAATGCAAGGATTATTATTATTATCTCAAAGACGCAATAGGGTGCTATATCAAATGCAAGGTTTATTATTATTTTATTGCAAAGCCAACCAGTACATGGGAAGAGGGTGAGTGAATGGGGTCTAAAATCACAAGAGCATTTCAACCTCGTAGCAACAATTCTATAAAGGAATGGCACTGTTCTATTATGTTTAGGTGTTATGCTCATCAGAACACACTTCTTTCATCTGGGTATGAATACAAGTAAGTTTTCTGCTTTGTCGAATAAAACCAGTTTTCAATTCATTTCCAGGTAGGCGAGACACAGAAAGCAAAACATCTCTCAAATGAAACCCCTATCATGCAGACAGATTTTAAATTTAGAGAGGAAAATATTACATTTAGTGCAGTAAATGGAGGTGATGGAAGGGGGCGGGGAGATGGAAATAGAGAAGATTTACGATGAACAACGTTCAGGAACAAGGTTACGCAGGAGGGAGTTTTGTATTGCATCGGGGATATTCCTGACCCAGGCATGTTTTATTAGGTCACTGGATGCAAAAAAACATTTCCCAGAACTGTCAGTGATGCATACACGTGGGGGAATTACAGCTATATTATGACCAAGCAATAAATTGCTCAAGTGTCAAATAAAAATACACATTACAGTATTTTAATTTTAATGGACTGCTGTGTTGCTCTCTTTCATTAATGAACAGCTCACAAGTCCCAGGACATTTTCATGGTGTCCATTTCAAATGTATCAGACACCAGTGGTAAAAGAGAGCTCAGCTAAGTGCATTGCGAAGCGCAGCCTGAATGAATTCCCCTTGGCTGACCTAGTTCAGTAACAAGGCAAAGCCAAAAGAGTAATGGACCTGAAGAGTGACAGTGATGACTGGCATAAGCTACATTCTCTACCCCTGCTGGCCAGACAGCCAAGCAATCAATTTTCCTCTCCAGCCTCCAAGTCCTGTTATGCGCTGGGAGATTGTGAGCGGCCTGTGAACTCACCATGATAGTCCCCTTGACTTGGGAGGTTAGACAGAATGATCTTCATGCAGCTGTACGGAGTGTAGTCTGTCCTCTTCCCTTCCTTTCCAAAGCTGTGGCGTATATTGTAGGAGTACAATTTATCAAACTGGATGACAAGAGCAGAATAAAATAAAAGTTGTCACTTATTATACACAACTGTTTTTTGGGATAGATTTTTTAAAAAATAGAACACCTATTTGTCTGCTACAGAAGGAATATGCAGGAAACTCGGCAGCTGTGACTGAACTATAGATGTCCCTGCAGTGCAGAACCATTTACACAAACAATATCCAAATATAAATGCCACAACGTGCAGCATCGCATGAACACTGAATAACATAAATTATATTCATCGCTTGGAATAGGTTCTAAGATATTTATAGCTATCAAAACAAAATATTTTCAATTATAACACCACATTTTACCTTCTGTGTACTACTACAGATTAAACTGGCAGTAATTTAATTGTATTTTACAGACAGGTTGCCTCACTGTTCTTTCGAAGTATTTACTAGCCACATTTCATTATACATAACAATAACAAGCATCTTCAGCAGGTAACTTAATCAAGTGTCTCAAAGAAACTTTTTAGAGTTGCGGAGAAGGAAAAAGTACAAGATGACCAGTTTCTTTTGACTTTGGAATTGTCTAAATTACCAAGATATTATTATTAATAATTCTTGTATCTGATATAGTGCCTTTCACATTAGGTTGACGTCTCAAAGTGCTTCACATAATTTACTGTAAAGCGATTGTGTCATTTTTAGACAAATGCAGCAGCCACTTTGCACATAACAATGTCCCATGAAGTAAATGACAATTTTTGTTTATAGGATTTTTGGCCAGGACACCAGGAAAACTCCCTTTTCTTATTGAATAGAATCATGGGATTTTTTAACATCCTCCCAAACAAGCGGACTTGGTTTAGCATTTCACCCAAAAGCCATCATCTGTGACAATCTAGAGCACTCCCAGCCTAGACTATGTGAGCTCAAAGTCCTGACCTGGGGTATTAACGCACAACCTTCTGACTCAGAAGTGAGAGTGCTACCAACAAGAGCCAGGCTGGCAATTAATTTTATCCTTCCTTTCATCATGGAAATACATCAAGCAACAAGAAAATATAGTCATTACACTTTACAGTAAATCCTGTGAAGTGCATGGAGGCATCCTCCAGACATAAAAACCACTATCTCAAAAGAAAGGATCATTTGTTGCTTCTTTTAATATCCCCTTTGCCAACTCTAACTGTGTTAGCAAACTCCAACTGAAATCCTTGAAAGCTCAATAAAACATTAAGTACTCAGTTGAGGTACTTAAAACTCTGTGCTCCGGCAGAATTCCCCACTTTCAAGTGTGCAGAATTAACAGAAAGGAAATTAATTAGCTGAAGTCTGAAATCCTCATATTTCTAAGCTTAAGATGATTTTCTTAAAATTCAAGGATTGTGAGAAATTTGCAAATTAAGGTTTATATTTTATTATAAAAAATCCAACTAATGATTATCGTCCGGGGAAGGGGGGGTTAAGTGCGGTTTCATTGGAGTTGAACCGGCTCCAAGGTGACATGTTTGGCAATGGAATGTCAGAATCCAGCCAGCCCTCTGTGGTGGTCTCGGCGGTCTGGTTCCTGAGCTGGACGGGTCTGCAGTCCTCCAGGGCACTGCTGAGGAGCACAGCCAGCCTGGCTGTTGGCAGAACTTGGAAGGGCAGACCAGTCACTGGGGGTTGGGATTCTTCCCACTCAGCTCCTGTTAACCCTGCAAAACAAAGCTCTAAGGGGAAGAATGGTCCAAGCTTGATACGCACAGAAAAGCTTGCCAGTCAGTGCTCTCAATGGCAAGTTATGCGGTTTTAGCTGGTTAAGCTCTAGCAGTACTCAAATGCAGCCTCTGAGTCCTCAAGCCTTTGTTCTCACTAACCTGAACCTAATACTCTTTGGAATTAGGTAAGGAGGGTGCAGCCATCCAGGAGCAATGCACATTCTATTGATTCTATTCCAGACACAGGTAACTTCCACTCGTAAGTGGTATGCACTTGTAGCACTCTTTAGTTTGGATACTCCTAAGCATAGTGATGGGTTTCTGCACACACCCACTGCCCCCGACATTCAGGCTAAAGAAATAACAGACTTATACTATGAGAATTAAGAGGAATAACTTCTAAACATGAATATAAACAAGGCGATGAATGCACTCCACAGTTTTTGAACAAGTGGATGACATAAGGCCAATTAGACCCTGAAGGCAATTTCACAAACTGGAAGAGGGGAAGGAGAAATCCAATTTTCCTTATGTCTCCAGCATGTCATCCTGTCTCTTTCAGTACATAATTACTTGCCCTCATACAACAGTGACAGAAACATCACTTGGTTAAGGGCGAAAGCTCAGAGCCACATTTAGACATCCTTGTTTGACCCAGCAAAAGATGCATGTGATTATGCAGGCTTTCATATTCAAAGGTCTCTTGAACATCTGTTTAGTATTCAGATAATTTTTCTTCATACCTGAAGATAAAGAAAGCTTTCCCATATGCTTTCAAGTTTTAATGTAATACATCAGAACTTATTTAAATAAGCCTAATCCTGTCTCCAAAAATATGAATTATAAATAATGAAACGAGTGGACGCTATACAGAGCTTTAATCATTTTAGGGCACGTTTTAAGAGCCCATTTAAAATCAAATGGGTAAAACAAAACTCAGATTAACAATCTGCATAATAGTTTTCATTATTCTTTTGAGTGTTATTAACACTTCACAAGGATACCGGGAGGTGAGGATAGGAGGAGGAACAAAGAGAAAGGAGAGATTTCAGGAGACAGTCATTCAATAAAACTTTGTTCACACAGCTTCATCCAATTAGGTCAGCTGATAAAAGTACAGTCTGTTGCAAAAATAGTCACCTGTACCCCATATCAGAAGGTTGCAGGTGTTTGACATGATTTGACTTTGATTTCACTTTGAATACCTTTCAAGGACAAATAAAAATTCCAGACAAAAGTGAGAACAGCGATTAAATGAAACTGGTTGCAAGCGTAGCATACTATAAAAATACAATATAATATACGCTATATAAAAAAATTAGCCACTCAACCACGGCTGTTTGTGGGACACTGCTGTCCGCAATTGGCTGCTGTGTTTCACCCACAAAATCCACTTTACAATATATTCTCGAAGACGTGATAAGGCGCTGCATCAAATGCAAGGGTTATTATTATGTGAAGCACTTTGAGATGTCTCAATGTCATGATAAGGAGCTATGTCAAATGCAAGGATTAATATTATATAGCCACTTTCATGTTGGGAGGATGTTCCAAAGCTATTTCATAATTCTGCCTGGACACCAAAGCACAATCTTATCTCTTTATTCCTTCCTTTGAATTTCTTCCCTTCCTATGCAATATATGCTTGACTTCCACTTGACAAACATGTATGAGCTCACCACTTGGGAAACTGAGGGTGCTGACGACTCTTATTCTATCATTCAGTGGTTCAGCAAGTGACCCTCAATCAGGAAACTTGAGGACTGAAGCCCTCTACAAAATGTTAATAAATACTGACCTCCTTAAACAGGGCAAGAATAATTTCCACAATTAATGAGATCCAAGCACTGAGAAAGGACGAGGAAGGAAGATGTGAAACATTTAGGAAAATTAAGTTATAATTTAACAATGAGGAAAGCCATACCGAGGTAGATAAACTAACCACAGTCGTTATTGGTACTTGCTCTGCATACAACAAGGAACAGTAACAGCACAATACAATACATGCAACTACACAAGCACAATCCCCAAACATTTCTTTCTTTCACTTGCTGAAGTCGTGATCGGTCATAGGCTACGAACTGGAAAGGTAAAGTGTTGGAGCCAGTTGAACTCAACTGGCTCCAATGTGATGTGCTTCATAACGGACTGTCAGAATCCAGTCAGTCCTCTGTGATTGTCTTGGTAGTCCGGTTCCTTAGCCATTTTGGTCCACATTTCTCCAGGGCCCTGCTGATGACAGACCAGCCAGTCTGGTTCACCAGTAGGAGTTGGAAGGATTAGAGCAGGAATTTTTCTTGCTCAACTCCTGTTAATCCTGCAAGCCAAAGGCCTAAATGCAGTGGTGGCCAACCCATGGCCCACAGGGCTGTCAAGAACATTCACACTAATCTCGGTGCATCTCTTTTAAATCAATGTTTCCAGTTCTTTTTTGATTGAATATTTCTTGATGTATGGCATAAAACAGTTGCATTGTCAGCGATATCGTCCTTTGGGTGGTTACCAAAAGCCTCATTCCCAAAGGAAACAAATAATTGTCAAACTCTATCTGCACAAAAGTTTATTGTCCTGAACGCATTAAATAGATAATGATACAAAGTGACAAGTGAAATTCAGAAAAAAATCATTCAAAATGAATGAGTCTTTCAGCTTCAGGAAGGTCCATGAGAAGGGGTGGGAAAGGTGGCATCAATTTGAACGTCAGAGGATAACTGTGCCAGAACACATCATTCATCAGTATCAGGGCATCTTCCTGACGGCTTGTCAGTGCTAAATACCTAAAGATCCGAGAATCAGGCCTACAAGTCCTTTTTCCTCCCAAACCTTATTAATAATGCTTTGAGCACAGAGGAAATGTGCACAACAACCTCTTAGCCAGGACAGCTACTGCCCTCATATTTCTAGAAAAGTCTGGAAGCCTCTTGTGAAATTCACCTGTCAATTTGGCCCATCTGAAACTGCCAAACATTGTACGAGAAATTGAGACCTTCCACTTCTTAAGATCACCTCCCCCCTCCTCAGTATCATGTTCCTCCACTGTCCAGCGCTCTGGGACACTACCCTTCGTGAGGGGCACTATATTAATGCAAGTTATTGAGAGTCCGTTTGTTGGCATTAGCCAACTTGCTCCAAATTTCTGCTTAGTGTTTGATGACCTACCCATGGGTTTCATTAGTATCAGCCCCATATTTGCACATCATGGGCAGAATGCTGGGATCCAATTAATGATTTAACCGTCCAGACACACTGTGATTTGCACTTTTACAAAGAGCACTTTACACATCTTCATACATATCCTTATAACTTTCAATTATATTCTTAAGCACACTTATTCAGTTTTTAAA